CGGGAGGGGGCTGCGGGGGAGGGGGGCGGCGAGGGGACCCGCGGCCGCGGCACGAGTTCCCGGGCTCCGCGCGGCGGCCGGACCGCAGCGCTGCTGCTGCTTTGCGAAGTAGAAGTAGGCTGGTCGCTGGCTTTCCAGGGCTCCGGGGGAAGGTGTCTCGCTCGCCCCCACCCCCAGCCCGTTACCCCCCCACTCTTTCCCGGGATGGAAAAACAACTTTGGCGCCCCCCGGGGGGTGCGGGCGTGGAAGTGGAGGTGGCCGCCGGAGCCCAGCTGTCAAAGGAAAGCGGAGGAACGGACTGGAAAGGGGACGGCTGCGAGTGCCGCGGAAGGGCGCGAACTGGATGCCGACTGCGGGGGAGCATCGGTTCCTTCCTTTCCGGGCACTTGGTCTCGGTCCCCCGCTTCCAGCCCCGCGCTTCGCATGGCTCCCTCCGGCCACCCTCGCAGCCGGGCGGAAGGCGCGGGAAACCCGGTGACGGAAACTTAGGACCACGGGGCTCTGGGAGAAGGGACCGAAAGTTGCGCACAGCTAGGGGAAGAAAGTTTCTGATAGCGGCTTCCTTCCCCTTCCCCTAGTCCCGGCCTCCGGCTGCAGTCCCCTGGAGGGGAAGGAGGCGCATGCCTTCCCGGGTCCCGCGGGGCCGCACCAGGCACTCGTGTAGGTGACACCGGCCGACCCAAGGCGCCAGGATACACCAACGCCTGCGGCAGGCTGGGCGCCCGCCCGCCTGCGACTCAAGGACCCGAGGCTTCTAAGGCGCAGGCAAAATGCGGAGGCTTCAAGATGATCGTCTTTCTCACGAACAGTGTGTGCCAAAAACATCTCCGCCTTGTACACATTTATCATAGCTAGAGCAAACTTTCTGCTTATCTGATTTGGGAAGAAGGCGAAGGTTTCTAGCATACTCCCAGAGCACTAAGAAAGCAGAGACTCCAAGAACACTCGACTTGTTGGCCGAACAACAGGTTAGATTACTGCTTCCTACTGAAAAGAGAACATCTTCCCTCCTTCCATCCCTTCTCCCCCAAGTAGAGGGAGAAAGAGACTGCATGATTGCATTCAGAGGTCAGAACTAAATTCCTTCGAAAATGTGTTCCCTTGGAATCACGAATTTTCTTCTAGAAACTGTCGTTGAGTTTAATGTAAATTTTCACAATAGTTAATTTTAAACTTTTTTCAGTAGCCATGCCTGACTAGATCCCAATTAGCAACAGCTGGCCTTAGGATGAGTTGGCTTATTCACGTGGATCTAACTTATTTTTTAACAGCCCAAGTGACCCGCACCTGCAATTCTCTGTGCTGATTGAATCCAAATTCCTGACAGGACACCTTCTAGGCCCTTTCAAAGTGGAGTTCTAGTCAGTTCTGCATTTGTCGAGTCTATGTGTTCTTTTGATATGGAGCTATTTGGTAAGGATTTCTTCCATGTTATGGGAAATACCTTAGAATTCTATACGCATGGTTTGTAGTGGAAGACAAAATTACTTTTCTTGCATGACTTTAACAGTAATGGTGACAGCAGGCACAAGACCCATGCAAACTCAAACCAGACAAAAGCCCAGCATAGAACTGGGGAAATGGGCAGGAAGCCCCAACCCTAGTAGTCCAGAAACTGTTGGCAGCTGATTACTGCTGGGCGAGAGAGAGTTGATCTTCTTTAAGGGAATGACAGTAGATAGGCTGACTAGGCTCCAGTGGATGAACTCACACCAAGTGATGTCTGGGGACACAAACTTGACTCCACAGGATAGGCCTTAATATATAGACCAGAATGCATGAAACCCTGTGGGGTGGACTCTGGTGAGTACAGAGAGGGGACAGGGTCTGTTGCATGAAATGCACAAAAATTCAGTAAGTATTGAAAAAAATCACTCCTCTCACTAGTATAAATTACATGTAGTTAGGTATCTAACCCCTATCCACATATATATTTAAATACATGGTATCTCAAAAGCTCATCTTTAAATGATCTGATTAAGGTGTGGAACATTTTCTTATTCTCTAAACATAACTGTAACATCATCCTGTAGTTTGTAGGAACTGATTACACAAGGGATAATGATGACCAAATGTGCATTCTGAGCAACTGAAGATCATCACAAGAATTTTCCAGAAAGAAGCCAACTTCTGGTGTCTTCTGTATCATGGAAAGATGAGGAAAGCTAATTTCAGAGTCTCTTCCCATACCTCCTCACACACTTACTGCTTTGGACAAATGACAGACCAGCAGTTATCAATCAGTTCTATTCACACAGTGCATTTTGGCCTGCACACCTACCTACGCTAGCTCACATGCAGACTTTTTTTTTTTACATCAAGCAATCCATAATTTACATTCTTAAAACTGGTTCCAGAATTGCTGTTCTTGATGTTACCATAAAATCAATCAGTACTAGGCAAGATGTGTCTGAGGTCCCCTCCTTTCTAGACATTCATCAGTACAAAGATGGAGACTGGGTTTAGCTGAAGAACAGTCTTTAAGAAACTGACAGAATTTAGAGAAAGAAGCAAAGCCTACTGTGTACGAGAATTCCATAACATCTTCTGTCCAAGGAGTTTGTATGGCAATTGAAATAAAACCTTAGGTCCTCTGTATCCTGCAAGACTAATGGCATGTACTTGACTGACTCCTTGAACAGCTTTATTCCATTTATTCATTCCTCTGGTGGACTATGCTCAAGTCACGAGCTTTCTTTCTGTTCCTCAAACTTGCCAACCTGCTCTTTGTCCCTACTCTTCTTGGCTTGAAATTTTGGCCTGTGTTTTCCATGGTTCTTTCTTACCATTCCCATCTCAGCTCTAATTTCACATCTGTAGAGTCAAAGTAAGTAGCTCTTAGCCACCATTCAAAATACGCCTCCCTTATATGCCCGTAACCACGTGTAAATTGTCCTTTTTAGTTTATATGCTACTAGTTTTCTTTGAAGTATAAGCTTAATCAGCGCAAGGGCTGGTTCGAGAAATGTCAGAATTATTCCACTATGTTGATAATTACCATACCGCTAAACAAGTTTGCTTAGGAAAAGGGGGGAAAGAGTCCATTTTGAGGGGATTTAGCAAACATTATAGCGCACTGCACCAGTGATCCCCAAAATGTATTCTGGGGACTCCAAGAATGTCTAAGGCCCTTTTAGACGGTCCATGAGGTCAAAAGCATTTTTATTACAATAGTGCGAAGTTATTTAGCTTTCTTACTCTTTCCTGTGTGCTTTCCAAAGACAGTGTGACGTGCGTATCACAACAGTCTGACTGAAGCAGGCAAGAGAATCCACCTGCCTTTTGTTCAATCAGATGTTATAGAGACATGCCACAAACATGTAAATCAATGCCATTCCTGTCACTAAATTTCTGGGGTGTTTTGGACAGCAGATTTTTTTCCTTCTAAAAACATGTACATACATTTGTTTCTTTTGCTGTTGTAACAAATTACAAAAACGTCGGTGGGTTAAACCACAAAATTTATTATAATTCTAGATGTCTGGTGGAAGAAATATCTAAAAGAAGCATTTTTAAAGCTAAAATCAAGGTATTTGTGCTCCTTTCTTGGGCTTCTGCGGGGAGAATCTGCTTCCTTCTCCATCTTCTAGAAGCTACTCTTTATTTGGCTCATGGCCCCTTTCACCTGTGAGCCTGTGAACCATACTCATCTTCCTTACAAATCACTGTGATGCTCTTGCTGCCCATTGAATCGTAATACCCTGCTGGTTACATTGGGCCTGTTAAAATAATCCAGGATAATCTATCCATCTCAAGATCCTTAATCTAAAGATATCAACCATTACTATTAGGGATTATCATTCTGCCTACTATAGAAGAATAACAGCAAATGGGTTTGAGTTTTTTTAATGAGTTAATAATTTTTTAAATTTCATAATTTAAAATTTCTATCAAATACCAGTAGGTGTTGCCCACACAAACAGATGCTTTTTACAGTCTTTCAACAATTTGAAGAGCTTAAAAAAATGTAAAGGGTCATAAGACCAAACAGTGTGAGAGTGATTGACCCACACAATCACCCCTGGTTGCCTCAGGCTAAATGAGCTGTTCTAACCTGGTTATGATGGCCCCCTTTCTCTTTGCTGTGATTGCCTTAAAGTTGAGCCTGTTAGTTGGTTCTAGGAAATGGTTGAGGAGAAGTCATTGAAGACTTCAAGAAAAGATTATTTTGGTAAAGACTGTTTTACTCATTAAAACTAAAAATTGGTAGACAAGAAACAAATTATCCTTTCTCTTATCCCGATAATAGTTTGAGAGGATGTAGGACCTGAAACAATTTGCATTCCATCTTGTGACCTGGAGGGGATGATATCGTGGGAAAGTGAAATCAACTGAACTGGCTTTAGCTAGTTAGTGGTTGGTTGATTGATTGGTTGGTTTGGGTGCTAGGGATTGAACTCAGGGCATCATACATGCCTGCATGCCTCTATTACCCAGCCCCACTCCCAGCCCTGCATCTGAGCTCTTGGTATGACTGACTTACAGGTCAGTACCCCAGATTGCTTGGGCTTTCTTCTTGTGGAATATGATTAATCCTGTCATGCTGCAGTTGCATTTCTATTTCTTACTGTTTAAGGTTTCCTAATGCTATAGAGGAAAACAGCATATTTAGAATTTCCATGTAGGAATTCCGTCCTGTCATTTCCTGTGATATTTTGAAATTTTTGCAAAATCTGAGTAATCAGTAAACTGGGGAAAACGTTACTATTCTCGCCTGAGAATGAAAACTATCAACATAGAGACGTTGCTAGTTAGAATGAACCCCCCAAAAGAATTGCCGATATAGGGTGTTGAAAGGTAAAGGTGCCATTTCCAGACTTGTTTGTTTGTGTTTCTCACCACATTGCAAGTTCATGTTCCTAGCACCATCCACTGCTCTAATGAATCATTCTTGCAAATTAATAAATTTATTTGTATAATATTATCTCTGTAAACCCTATGAATAGTGTTCCAAGAAATAAAAGTCTTTAAATAGACAATTTCAGCACATAATTTTGTGTAGTGCTGTTAAATTATAGAGCTTAATGTTGCATGTATTCACATACTACTCACTGTATTTATGGTAGACACCAGTTATTTGCAAGTGCAAGTTGTTGGGAAAGAAATGAATTTAAAAAAGCAATTCAATGTTAAATCCAAACTCAAAGCAGATAAAATATTTTCATCATTAGAAAAGGTGAATTTATTTGTATTAGCAACATATACAAAAGTGCTCAGTAAGAGGGCTTTCAGAGTCATTCTGAACAATTTGGCCAATGTCAATACAAAATAAAAATTTTTATTAGAGACGAAATTAAAAATATCAGACTGAGAAATATTTTCTGTTTAAAATTTCATCTTAAGTGTAGATATTATAAATATTGTTTTAAATAATAAAGATTTGCTCTTATAATTTTTAAATATATGTTATTTAGTATTGATGTCATGCTATCATTCCTTAGTTTAAGTGTCTCCTATTATTAAATGTATTTATCAAGCAGAGTTAATTTTTACATTACTGAAATGTATAACCTCATAACATTGATTCATATACCAATGAGCCACACATTGATTATTTTGAGTAATTTAATTAGTTCATTTATTTATTTTGGGTTTTTGATGCAGAATCTCACTCTGTAATTTAGGCTGGCCTCAAACTCACAATGATTCTCCTGTCTCAGCTTCCTTAATGTTAAGATTACAGGCATGAGGGGCTAGAGAGATGAGAGATGGCTCAGCAGTTAAGAACACTGGTTGTTCTTGCAGAAGACCTGAGTTTGAATCCCAGCACCCACATGGCAGCTAACAATTGTCCATAACTCTGGTCCCAGGGGATCAGACAGCCTCTTCTGACCTCCATGGGCATTAAACAACACGGGTGCACTTACCTACATGCAGGCAATACACGCATATACATAAAATAAAAATAAAAGTTTTTTAAAAATTACAGGCATGAGTGACCACATTGATGATTATTTTTTATAGTAGGCCTTTGAGATGTCTCACATGACCCTATTGTATGATGTGATTACCATTTATTTGTATACCCCAGAACTCACATTGAGGCTCAATTTCTCAATGCAACTGTGTTCAGAGGTGGTGGCAACTTTAAGAAGTAATTGGGGCATGGGGGAACCAACATTATTAATATAGTTCTTTTGAGAATAGGCTCCACTCATACACACACACAGACAGACAGACAGACACACACACACACACACACACACACACACTTTCGCATGCGCCTACTTGCATTTCGCATTTTATTCAATATAGTATTTTACAGAATGAGGCACTCTTCATATATGGACAGTGATCTTGAACATCCCACCCTTTAGAACCATAAGCCAAGATAAACCTTTCTTTATAAATTATCCAGTCTCAAGTATTGTTTCATAGC